AAACTCTGAAGGGCTGAGTTGTGTGAAAATGGAACTGGCCCAGATCTTCAATTGGCGCAAATCAGTGTCGTTCCACTGAAGTCAACAAAGCTACACTGATTTAGGACAGACTAAGATCTAGCCTACCAAGTTCAATTAAAATTAACCATAATTATTCCAGTCTCAAAAAAGGTTTTGGTTTAAAGACCAAGAGTGTGGGCTGGTTATGACTTTATCCAAACTGGATTTCCATCATCCCTGGGTCCTCTGCAGAACCTCAGCGTTCCTGGGTTGAATCTAGCAAATACACACAATGGCTCATATTTCTGTATCTACGGAACAAACCCTAAGCAGATTCTGTGAACAAGATGGACAGCTGTAACAGGTCCATCCCAAACAACACAGGGGTAGCAGTGAACCAGCAAGAGCATAGTATTTATCAAAGAGAAGTGAACATTCAAAGAGGAACTCAAGTATTTATTTTACCTTTGGAGTGGGTGCTGGTGACTGGCCAAAAGTACTGGATGCATAGCCACAGAGAAACTACAAGAAGCAAAGGTAAAAAAGAGAGACAGAGAATAGAAAAAAGGTGAAAAGAAGGAATAACTAAGAGGGGAGTTCTGAGTTTTCTGTCAGTCCTTGTAATTCGGCACCACTCACACCTCACAGAATAATGCGATAATTCTCAGGACCGTGTCTATTTCTATCCTCTCTCCTTCCACTTATCTAAGCACTGGCCTCCTCACCACTTTCTCACTACTGCTGGTGAAAGGGCATTCGCCCCGCAGCTCCTGCCACCTGGAACAACCTTCCTGCCTCTCTCCGTATCATTTATTCTCCATCCCTTTTCAAACCCCGCTAAGAAACACATCTGCTCTCCTTCAGCCAGAATGTTTAATATAGAGCTTGTGTTACTGCTGATGGCCACTCTACCTTCCTTCCATGGGTGATGCCTTCCTTCACCAAGAGCGCCTCCATCGACTGAAGAGGGGCAGTGTGGGGGACTGAGAGCCAGGGCTCTCAGCTCTGCGCAGCTGCCTGCTGGGAGCCCAGCTGCCCCCCAGGCTCTCGCCTCCCCGTTCCCTGCTGGGAGTGGGGGACAGCCTCCCGGGCATCTCAGCTCCCTGAGCAAGAAGCCAGGGGTAGCCAGGCTCTAGCAGCCCAGTTTTCTTACCAAGAAAGCCAACAGCCGATGTAAGTAACATAGTGTCTGCACAGACTCTGTGTTGCCCTAACTACACCGATATAAGCCTCACTTAGTTAGCACCCACTTAGCATCCAGGCCCACCCAAATTGCTCCCCTGACCCTGCTCCCTGGCAGGAGCACTGAGCGGGACAAGCCCCCACTCCTGGACCCCGCTCCCCGGCAGGAGCGCCAGGTGGGCGGGCGGAGGGGGGCAAGCCCCCACTCCCAGACCCCACTTCCCGGTAGGAGCACCAGGCGCGGGGACGAGGCAAGCCCCCGCACCCAGAGTGTGGGGGGGGTGCTCTCTTGTCCTGGCTCAGGGTCCCACAAAACCGTAATCCCCCTGTCATTGCTGCCCACCTGAAAGCCGGGGCCCACCCAGTTTTCCTGTTTTAGCTAGGCCACTGAGCTGGAGTTATGATGTCGGTGTAGTAGGGCACTTACGTCGGTGGGACAAGGCTGTAGCGTGTACACTGACATACTTAGGTCGACGTAAGCTGCCTTATGTCGACCTAACTACGTAGTGTAGACCAGGCCTATGAGTCTAAGTGCTTTGGTGTACAGACTGCAACCCTGGGAGGTACTCCACATCCCCAACACCGACTGAACCCAACGCCTTGCAGGACTGAGCTGTTTGAAAGACACTGTACAAAGAAAGTCCCCGATTCTGCAAACACACACGTGAATAACTTTACGCAACTGGATACTCGTGGGCATAAAGCTACTCACAGGCATTAACACTTGGTGGATTAGGGCTTAAAGTTGCACAGTGTTATAGCAATACTCAGTTTGCAGCATCAAAAGTTCCCTATGCACTGAGATTAGGTTGATCAAACGTCATGCCTCCAGGCGGCGTCATGGGTTCCATCTGTGAACCGCTTTGTACTATTGGTTGGATACATTTGGCTGGGTACATAATTTATCTAGCTCCCTCTAAAGCATCAAAAATGGGTCACTGCTGGATACAGGATGCTAGATTTGATTGACCGGTGGCTTGATCTGTTATGGCAGCTCCTGTATGAGTCTCTTCTGGAAGGTACGTTCAGAGATAGTCTCACCAACGCTCAGCACCGGGGGCCAAGCAATACAAGAAGGAAATCCTAGGCCAAATCAGCCATGCCTTAATCGTTTGTGCAGAACTCTGCTGCTTGCAAAAACTTACGTTTACTGAAAGAAAGCACCAAAAACAGTTCAAACCATTAAAAAAAATGAATCTCTTTGCAGTTTTGTTGCATGATATTTTTAAGGTAAAAAGCTGGATTTGGGTATTGGAGGCTTCTTCCCAAACTATGTTATGTAGGGCCACTTTAGGTGGGCTGCAATTGGGGAGGGGGGCATGTGGGATCATGTGCCACCCCAGATTTGCTGCTTGGCTTGTACTGAGCATGCTCACACAGACCGAGCATGCTCAGTAACACTGCTGAGGCCGGCTGCCCTCACAATGCCCCCCCCAACTATCGGCAGACAGGGGTCGTCTCTGGCGGTAATGCAACAATTTCTCCTCTTCCAGTCCCATATCGGACAGGTGTTTTCAAATCTCGTAGAGTATGTCTACATCACAAATTAAGGTGCAATTGTAGCTCAGCTGGGCATACCTGTGCTTGCTCTGATCTCATTAGCATGGGTAACAATAGCAGAGAACCTTGGCCCAGACTAGCACCCTGGGTATGTGCTCAGGGTATCTGGTAGGCTTCTATTCTAGCCTCCACGGAAGCCCATACCCCCATGTCTACATTATTTTTGCTCCCGCTGGCCATATTAATGCTAGTGCAGGTCTGCCAACCTGTGCTACCATTACACCTTAATTTGCAGTGCAGGCATACCCTTACTCCAAAAGCGGTGATCATTAAAATACCAGAGAGCAGAGACTGATACCACGGACAGATTCAGAGGAGAGTTACCACCACCACAGAAAGCTAAAACTACCCAAGAAGGGGTTATTTCAAGAAAGAAAATTTGATGCTCTAAAAGTTCTCTGTTCTTACATTTGAGACAACGCCAAGCTTGTGCACGCAGCTCAACTCTGCTGAAATGGATCACCAGTACTCTGTTTAGAATTTGCTGAAGAGTGCGGGCTGGAATTTAGGGGGTGACAGCCAGCTAAATGTGTCACTGGAGAAGTCTGGCCAGCCGTGAAAGCCCGAAAGGACCTGTTTTATTGATCCTATGGATTACAAAAGTTTAAATTCATGCTGCCTCCCCACCCCCAACAAACAAGAATCATCTCCAAGGTGAACTGCCAAGCTTTTGAGGATGATTTAAAAAAAAAAAAGAAAGAACAAAAATAAGAAAGGAAAACAACAGCAAGGTACTTAAGCATGTGTGTTGCTTTAAGTACACGAGTCATCTCATCGAGGTCAATCGGGCTAATCGTGTGCTGAAAGTCAGCCATTTACTTCAGCACCTAACTGAATCGGGGCCTATATTCTTGATGCTGCTCCCCTGAAGTCTATGGGAGCTTTGCTGTTGATTTCAGTGGGAACAGAACTGAGTTGTAAGGGCTAAGGGCAAATCCTTCAGAACTGCCTAGATGACTTAGGAGCCTCAATTCCATTTTCAAAAGTGACCTAGGCACTTACAGGGAGATCTTTAAAAGTGCCTAAACTTCTTAAGCACCTAATTCCCATAGAGATCAACTGGAGTTAGGCATCTAATCTGTTTAGGTGTCTAAAGATGCAGCTAGGCACCTAGTGGGATTTTCAGAAGGGCCTAGCCACCTAAAATCCATTGAAACCAATGGGAGTTAGGCACCTAGGCGTTGTTGAAAATCCCCACTAGGCACCTATCTGCATCATTTGGCGCCTAAATTTTGGTCCTTTAAAAATCTGGTCCTTAGTTGCTCTTGAAAATGTTATCCCTAAATCTTCTGCTGTCCCCAGGATTTGCCCACAAGGAATACACGTGTAGACGTCCGATGACAAGGGCTGTACATTTTACATATCAAAAGCCAATAATAATCATAAAAAGCAGTTTTTCCTTTACTTTGGGACGCAGGGTTGTTGAGCTCCCAGTAAAGTCTCTGGGGATTGTAGATACATTTTTTCTTGAGCAAGCTGAGTATCTCACATAGTATTGTTTGAGACATAGTCTATGATCCCATAAGTAAAGCCCGTGTCGTAGCGATGCATACTAACAGGAGTTAAGGTTAGTGTCTTCAACCTCCACATGAGGAAGTTCCCACTCTTCAGTGCTTCCCCTCACAACCTTAACAACCAACCCATTAGCACTGTGGTTTGTATGGAGTGAATACATTATATGCTCTCCATAGGCCATGTTCTGGGGATGTAAGCTTTATACTTCACCTTTAAGAAAAGCAGATGCGGTAACTTGTCTCTCCGCTTCCATTGTTTGGAGACCCACAATTCTCGCCAGCCCCTCCCCCAGTGCTTCCTTGGCTTAATATCTGGCTATGGTGTCATTTCACTACTGCTCTGGATGGTAACTGTTATGGACCTGTCTGTAACCTAAGACTTTAACGTTCAGAGATTTGGTTTTGGTTTTGGCTATCTGGTCTGCTATGCAGCATTAGCTATCTATAGATCTTTCATATTTGTAGAATAAAATAAAATAATTAATACCTATTATGCCAATTGCTGCTTTATCTAGGTGATGAGCTAGATAACAATATTTTATGAACAGTTCTGCTGAGCTGGGACTACTAGAGTGAATGTATCTAGGACCGCATGCTAATACTGCGTTAATCCATTACAAAAACAGGTTTGGAGTATGCACACATAGTATCACCTCTGTAGGTTTCCTTGCAAATTCTCCCTCTCCACCCAGGAATCCCCACCACATGAGACTGGACAATTAAGTATCTTCCTAGGCGTGTTACCATAGCCACGTCCGCTTGGAAGATTTGCTTGATAAATTTGTTTTTCGAGGAATGGACCAGCTGAATGATGTCTCCATGAAGCGTGTCCCTGTTTTTCTCCAAAAACCCTACAGGAACAAAGGAGCAACATGTGTGTTAGGTGGCAGAGTGAAACATGAGCTAACGTATGTCCTGCAGACAGCTGTTCAGTCACTTTGCAGCCTGATCGTATTGCAGACACTTACGGCTTGATCCAAAGCCTGTTGGAGTCATAGAATCATAGAAGATTAGGGTTGGAAGAGAAATCAGGAGGTCATCTAGTCCAATCTCCTGCTCAAAGCAAGACCAATCCCCAACTAAATCATCCCAGCCTGGACTTTGTCAAGCCGGGCCTTAAAAACCTCTAAGGATGGAGATTGCACCACCTCCCTAGGTAACCCATTCCAGTGCTTCACCACCCTCCTAGTGAAAAAGTGTTTCCTAATATCCAACCTAGACCTCCCCCACTGCAACTTGAGACCATTGCTCCTTATTCTGTAAATGAATCAATGAGAGTCTCTCTCTTGACTTCAACAAGCTTTGGATTGGGCCCTTAAGGATCATGAAGTGCCAATGAAAATTTGACCCTCAGCTTCCCTTTGTTATTATTATTAATTATAATCATGATTATGGTGGTGCTTAGGGGCCAGCCGAGGATGCGGTCCCATTGTGCTAGGCACACACAGAGGAGTGGACAGTGAAGATGTGATGGTGGCAAACTATGTTAGTGCTATAACTGGGTTTTCGGGTGGGTTTAGTTAGGGAGGGATCAGCTAAACGGAAAGACATTGGAAGAGAGAGAGGTGAGGGGGACAGATCAGGGAAGAAGAGGGAGAGGAGGAAGGAGGAGGGGCAGACATGGTGTGAGGCTGAGTTGAAGAGACTATGAGATTCCTTGTGCATGCATAACTTCGGGTATGTCAACACTGCAAAAAAAAAGGTGTGTTCTTCACTCAAGCCCTTTAACTGGGGTTAAAATAGCGGCAAAGACATGGCAACCTGGCATTTCACTCAGGTTAGCAGCTCAAATTCAACCCCAGACTCAGCTATAACCCGAGTTCAGAGCAGAGTTACTGTGTCTTCACTGCTATTTTAACCCGTGTTGGTTAACGGGGGTTAGCTAACCTGGGTTAAGAACACATCCTTTGTACGCTCAGGGCATTTATCTCCACGTGCAAACGACAATTTCCATACACCTCAGCCACTCGCGTTGGCATTAATGGGCAAATTGGGTTCAGGCATGTAACTGTGTCATTCGCATGAACAAATGACAGAGCACAATAGCCCTGCATCACACAGGACATTTTGAAAATCCAGCCCAAAGTGGTCAGTCAAGAAGCACACTTCTAGCCGTATACGCTACTGCTACTCACTCCGTCCACCCGCTGTACAAATGGGCCTACTCTGAAACGCTTTAGCAAAAATGTTGGAACTCCTGGCCATCAAACCCGACCTCAGCTATGGTCAGAAGGAAGAGGTTACTTTTATGGATTTTAGTTCTTTAAAAAAATACTTTAAATTTTTGTTTTTTCTGAAAGCAACTGAAGCCTCTGTGACTCCCATTAGCCCCCTTCCCTCTGCGCTTTCTTTTCCCCATGCCTGGTAAGGGGAAAGGTGCTGAACCAGAAGGTGGCTGGGCTCTGTTTGTGAGTGGGAGCCGCATGGCAGCAGGGAGCTGGAGAGAAGCCCCAGGAGTTGCGCACAGAGCCGTGTGTGGAACAGGCTGTGAGTGCCGGACATCAGAGCTGGGTGCAGGTCGGAGTGGGACTGATGGGGAAGCAGCAACAGCTGGGCAGAGAGTCAGCACAATGGGGCCCCCAGTGAGAGACGCTAACTGAGCCTGGCCTGGGAACCTGCGAGCTCCTGTTTGCTGGAATAGAGACTGGACAGGAGAGGGCATCCAAGGCACTAGGCCCGCAGAGCCCTGACCCTCAAGTGGACTGCCCCAGGGACCCACACATTTACTGCTGGTGCTGACCTTGAACTGTTATTGTTTTAGCCTCTGTACCTAGGGTATCTGCAACCTTCCCCTTTCCTGCCAGCCCTTTCCCTTAGCCATGTCTGAGTGGTTACTGGGACCCACCAAGGCTAGTGCCTACATGGCCCCTAGCTGCTGAAGCACTTACAGTGCTTGCCTCCGAGTTGCGGTACACCACGCACGCTGCTGGCACCCGGAGGGTTTGGTGTAAGGGGTAGCCACACTAATTACTCTCCAATTTATTTTTATTTATTTATTTGTATTGCAGTAGGACCTACAGGTGGGATCAGGTCACCCTGGTGCTAGGCACTGGACAGACACCTGCAGACCCTGCCCTGCAAAAAAGCCTGGACGGAGAGGAGGAAAGAGAAATGATCATTCTCACTGTGGCGTTTAGATGCTTAACTTTTAGCAATAAGGGGTGGAAATGCTGGCCAAAGTTCTTTTCTTCTAATCCCAGAAGGTGCCCGAAATCGGTCTTTGCCTGGCATTTTAAACACAGACCCACACACAAAGAACGGAATTAACGGGAAACAAACTGGGCAGGAATGACAGCACAAATCATTAATATTTCCAGGATACTCCCTTCTCAGTGCTCCCTTGTCATAACAAATGGCATCTACAGAGCTGAGGGTTCTACAATGGAAACCCACCCTGTCTCTCTTCCCCACCCAAACCAAGCAGCACCCTAAAGCCAGCCCACAGTCACAGATACCTTTGGTTTCATAGTAGACAACACCAGCAAAGTGGTTAATGCCAAACTGGGTTTCATGGTTATTCTTCGGCGGGATGTAGTTGGTGTTTAGCTTGTGCTGGGAATTCAGCTTGTGCAGCATTGTGGTATCTGTACCCTGCATAAGTAAGAAAAAGGCCAACGTTTGTCCCATTAAAATAGTTCTCAAATAATCAGTGTGTTCCTTTTTCATTAGGGCAGTGGGATAAGAGTTTGTTTCAACAAGAGATGCACGGGGAGAAAAAGTGAGACGAGTAATTTAAAATAAAAACAATCTGGCCACACCCTTCCCTAACAAGGCTGTTGTACGTACACTCTCACCACCATAAATACGAGTTTGTTTGCAACCGTGACAAATGGTGAAAGAAAACTTGAGACGTCAGTAAAGGCAACAAATACGGAACCTAAACCCCTCTGTGCTTGATCCACAGATAATAAAAGTCTGTTACAGCCCCACCCAGATAGGGTCGGCTCTTTCTCCGAAGCTGTGCTTTTAGCTCTGGTTCCGTCTCTGGTGTGTCAACCAAGAAGGCAGCTGTCACAAATGCACTTGGTAGATATATGATATAGTGCTATATACAGGATGGCTTCCCCACTTTTTATTAAAGTTGCAGTCATGCAATCAGGGAAGAGAAACAATACCATGTGACTGAAGTGACCAATCGCACAGTGGTAATACTGAACACACAGATGACAACATATCAGCCCATTGGCTACACTGAACACACAGATGACAACATATCAGCCCATTGGCTACACTGAACACACAGATGACAACTATCAGAGGGGTAGCCGTGTTAGTCTGAATCTGTAAAAAGCAACAGAGGGTCCTGTGGCACCTTTTCTGTTAGTCTCAAAGGTGCCACAGGACCCTCTGTTGCTTTTTACAGATTCAGACTAACACGGCTACCCCTCTGATAGTTGTCATCTGTGTGTTCAGTGTAGCCAATGGGCTGATATGTTGTCATCTGTAAAAAGCAACAGAGGGTCCTGTGGCACCTTTGAG